TGCATTGTGGAGCCATTGGTCGATTTCTTAGATCATCCGCATCCCTATAAATAATTATAGTTTTCAGCCTCGATAAGTGTGTCAACTTTCTCTCTCATTCACCTTGATAAGTGTTTTTTTACCATATCCTCTAGCACCACTTGAAGGCACTCAATATATTAAATTTATTATCCAAATTAAAGATTGACACACAAGCTATTAGTTTAACATACTTTGCTAAGCTTAGCATTGGATGCTAAGCTTAGCGTTAGTGCTAAGCTTTTGATCTTAGCATCTACCCTCACATGCATCCTTTAGCACTAGTGCTAAACCTTTAGCACTAGTGCTAAATAATTTCTCTCACCTTTAGCCTCTGCTTAACACCTAGGGATGCGGATGCTCTTAGTACACATATATAACTTAATATAACACAACTATAGCGTTCAAATAACGACATCCATAGCTATTGAGGCATATTAATTTCCATGGACGAAATGCAGCAACACTGGTTGTAGTGAGCTGAGTTGGATCAAGAATGTGGGTACACCGGTAGCTTCTACATACAAAAAGGAAGAGGAAGGAAGAGAGAATGTACAAAGCAACACCGAATCAGCTGTATCATGTGGACTGTGGCTATATATGTGTGTGCGATCTTGTGTAGGGATATCACGTTTTTGTTCAGTGATGAATGATGGTTTATCTAAACAGTACACCTACTACCATCTATGCTGCCACATTATGGTTTCTACATGCATGTCATCTTTTAGGTAATGGAAACTAGACACACTGTCCCGCCCTCTACACCATACCATGCACACAAATCAGTTTGTTAAAATATGAAAAGAACCAAAAAAAGGCAAATAACTCATAAATATCCAACAAGGTAATCACCGTGCAGAGTAGCTGTGCGACTGTCTGCTGTAGCTTAAAAAAAGGTCAATATAAGGAGCACATTTGCATAACCGAGACATTCATATTAGCATTCAAATTTGAATATGCTTATCACTTATGGCCATTTCCTTTTAATTCTAGGACAATTAAGATGCCTTCTTTCATAAGTGATCAATTAATTGTACCTCGTGCATATAGCACCCCATGTTACATTTGGGCCGCATCACTATATCTATATGCACACACAGTGTAGAGCACTCTATCAATTAGCCGGTGCAGCGTAAAAGAAGACAATACACATGGAGCATCGGCTGTCCTACAAAAAGGCAAGAGAATATATCCCTTGCCATGCACATTTTTGAAAGTTAATACATGTGATTTTTTTCTTGCTAAGTTTCAATATCAGGATCACGTGAACAATGTTTAGCTTAGAATTTCCTACCATATTACTAATCATATCCTTGATTTATAGGCAGTCAATGACTCTATCTCAGTTTTGCCATGTTAAGCAGAAGATAAGAGCATCTCCAAGAGGCCCCTACTCCACCCCTCAAATCACTTTTTGAGGGCCAAGGACAAAAAATCAACTCCAAGAACCCCTATTACATTTTTTTGTTGCAAATCAACCCCTATACATTCATAACAGAGGATCCAAAAATAATAATCCTCCAAGCCCTCAGTTCAAGGCCGCCCTGCTCCATCCTCCTAACCTCCTCCCTCCAGGATCCCACTCCTCTCCTCTGCCTGATTTCGCCACCCCGCCCATCAATCTGGGCGGTGCCGACCGTCTCCCTCCACCAGCGCCACCGAGGCTGCCACCCTCTCGCCGTTCTACCTCTCCATGTTCTCCCACACCGTGCCCCAGCCTTACAAGGTGCAAGTCGCTACGGAATCGCCTCCCTGCCCGCACTGTTGTTTGTGTTATCATTGAGAACGAGTGTGGGTCAAAATGAAGACTTCAAGTGAAATGATATGGGAGTCTATGTGGCTTTGGAGGATCTGAATCACATTACTGCTAGATGAATTCCTTGATGTCTAGAGAAGGATGGAAAGCCCTACAAGCGCACAATCAACTTTGAAATGACCTTTTTTCCCCGATGAAGGAGCCCCTCTCCATTTAATTAACCATGAAAATGATAAACAATTAATGGTAGGTAATATATATCAAACATGAGCCTTGGCTCAGACCATGGCCAACACACGCGATCAACTCAAAGATGATCTTTTTTCAGCACTCATGGGAATGATATGTGTCCAAGTAGTTTGTTTACTATATTTTTGTTTAAAACACCGACTACGCGCGTTGGATGAACTATGTAGTTCGATGAACATTTCCTAGCATTATTTGATTTTTTTTGTGTTCAAAATTTTGAATTGTGGCGCTTAAAATTACGAATTTGAACATTGTTGAGTTTTATGCGTAGACATATTATAGTTCGAATTATTGTGGTGTCAAATTTGGTGTCACATAGAGCAAATGTGCAACAAGAAGATCTTTTTTTACAAAGCTGAGAAATGAAGGGCATTGTTAGAGTTTTTAGGGCTGAGAAAGTAGGGGGTGCCTTCAAATGACCCTTGGAGGGCCTTTCTTGGAGATGCTAAAGCAACTAACGCAATGGATGGAAATTACTAACGTATTTTTATTTTTATTTTTGCACAACTCACAAATGATCCCATTGAACACAATAAAAATTGTGTCCATTTTCTACATGCATAAACTGTTTGTCTATTTTTTTTAGAAAAGCTTGACCTATGTGATTTTCTTGCTAAGTTTTAAAAGCTGGATTGTATGGAACCATGCTCACACCAGTACTATATATTACGAAAATCCCTTTCGGTGCCCGGGCTCAGATGAGCCCGATGAACAGTACCGCAGTTTAAAATAGGGAAAAAGTTCAAAAAATTCCATTTTTTTTTGTCGTGCAAGATGCTCCTATGCGTGAACTCCATGCAAAATTTTGTGAAGGTTGGACATTCAAGGAGCTTGTGGCAAAAAAGACAAAATCAGGCGTGAACAGTGCGATTTTTAAAAGTTTCTCAGACATCCGAAATTTATCTTTTTTGCCACGAGCTCCTCAAATGTCCAAACTTCACAAAATGTTGCACAGAGTTCATGCACAGAAGCATCTTGGACCACAAAAAGTTTGGAATTTTTTGAACTTTTTTTCTATTTTAAATCACGGTACTATTCATGACCGGGCTCATCTGATCCCGGGAGCTAAATCGCTGCTCTCATTATATTAATTCCGTATTCATTACTCATGAGTGTACACGCCAATGTACTGAAGACAAAAAGCAAAGGAAAAAAGAAGAAGAAGAGAGAGAGAACCGTGCATAAAAATATCTCTAGATTTTTTTTAACCTTTAAGTACCTTGAATAAGAAGGGCATACAGATCAAGTGCTTTGCTGTCATAGTCTCGTTTTGATGCGTGCTACATATCAGCTTTTCTTTTTAGCCATACTAGTAAATATGCCCGTGCGTTGCAACGGACCCGATAAATACGGCTGAAGACCCCCATAATTCAATGTCCTCTATTTCAACACGGTGTCCCAGCCATGTTACCACTTATCTTAGTCCCTCGCCGACACGTGTCACCACTTATCTTAGTCTTTCACCGCCGGCGATTACCGCAGTGTCCTCTAATCATAACATGTCTGGACTTCGTCAATCCCAGCCATTGCATGACACACATGTCATTCAGGTGCAATCACAATGGAATGTTTAAAACATTTAAAACTAATCTTGTCGAGCTGGACATGAGGACCGCTCTCCGCAAGCTATTCCCTACACTTGGTCCCACGCATCCCGCTACAGTGACAACAGGGAGGCCGTCGAGGAAAGTAGCACCCTGAGTAGGGTGTCATTGGCGGCCGTCACAGTGCTACACTACCGTGAGCGAGATCAAGGACATGGGTCGTGGAGGGTCACTCAAAGTCTGATCCGCTGTGCATTGTTGATGGGTGCCAACGACCGAACCGGGGATTGGTCATCACAATCTAGCACGCGGCTTTCATGAACCCCTTCCTCCATCGACTTGTAATTATGAAAAGCTTCGCCCCTATCTCATCTAGTAGGAGACCCATGTGTTGCTTTCAGCAAAAGGTTAAAAATACCTCCGCATGCACCATCGAAAACGTCAAAATCATCTACTTTTTGCCTCTTTGTTGACCATTATGCGGTTCACCGATCTGTCAG